CTAATAATACAATATTAAAATAAAAGAAATATTAGCATGATTGACAAACTGTATTAAATTTCTCATGAAACATGCGGGTATCTCAATAAAATATTGCCCAAGAAATCTTATGAAAGCATATACTTATAATGGTAATAAAAAAAAATATGAATTCTAAGACATAATTTGAAATCATGGACATCCATTATACTCTTAAGGTAGGAGAATCACAAATGATAGAAACTGAATTATTTTTAAAAATGCACTGCATTGTCGAAGAACCAGCAGTGTATACATGTTTTATAATGCCAGCAATATTGATAATACAGATCAAGTGATAGAAATAAACACCATAGCAACAATTACCATGGAGATATCAGATGTTTTCCAATATGTGTACTGAGAGCAACTATACAGTGGTTTTCTGAATAGCTCATGTTATGACGATACACATGACAATTTTCTTTTAACTGTCTGTCAAACAATAATTGGTAGAACATTCTGCGGTTCAAATGTGATCAATGCACGTTGTTATCCAGTATGCAACAAAACGTCCATTAAAATGACAACGTCCTGTATAACGACTGAAGAAAACCCCCATTTCAATCATTTAATGAACGCTAAATATGCATCAAGCCTTCTTTTAACAATTGACAGATGTGAGTAATACACCGTTCACTGCCCGATTTAATGTCTGAGTATTAAATTTAAGGTTGTGATGTTTATAACGTCGTCGCAGATTTATTTCTATGACTGCAACCATGGAGTTTTTATCTCTGAACATTATTTTTTTAAATCCCATTTCCTTAGTCTAATTAACTATAAAACAAACTTGTAGTAAAAACAGGAATAGTGCAGTGACCTCACTTTCAGAATTTAACAAAAATACATGTATATTGAGGATTGTGTAAGTAAGTGTGATGTCTTGTATGACAGAGAAGGGATATTAGGCATGCATTCTTGTGTGTAATAAGCTACGATAGAAACAAATAATGATTTATTGTGCACTACTGACTTAGTAATCTCACTTGTAATCAGTAAATCTCATCAAATCTTTTCTGAGAAGCACAAGGCTAATAAAGGGAAGTTTATCTGCAGGTGCACCTTCTGCACATCAATTTAAATGTCAAAACAAACATTTACATCTAACGCACAAATGACTTCTTCTTAAAATGTTAGTTTTCCAGATGATGAAACAAGCATTGGAAGAATGTAAATTATTTTCTTTAGTGTTTCTGGTAAGTTTGAAACATACTTTTTTTTAATATATTGCAAAAATGAAAGAAAGAAAGAATTGTAGACATAAATAGTTTGAAAAAAAAAATATTAGTAAGGCCTTATTAAATGAACAAGCAAGTAAAGCAAACGAAAGTCTGACAGATATTGGATACAAATTATGTGTAGGTGGATCATTTGAAATCATTTAATTTAGACAATATTAACATGAAATACTGTAGAATACTTTATTTTCGCTTAGAATTTATTTTTGCTATTTTCGTTGAAGGGATGATTCCGTGAAAATAAAATCCAGCGAATATACTTTTTTCTTATATTTCACAATAAACTCATCAAAAATCAGTGAAAATAAATTCCATACGAAACGCCCAGAAAGCCTTTTCAGCGAAAATTAATTCCAGCGAAAATAAATTATTCCACAGTATTCATATTCAAATTTTTACCCTGAAATATATTTGATGCAGAAAAACAATTAAAAAATTCTGGATATCATTTCTAAAGTGTGCAGAAGAACTAGTGACCAAGAATGGCCTGAGGCCAGTGAAAGGAGATGTAATGAGTGGAATATTGCCAAAGGTAAAAACTTTAATATTTCATGAATTACATAATCAATTTGGATTGCTAAAATGTATGCTCACCTCGGGCACTGGTTTCCTTGCATCATCATTATAATTATCAGTAGCAGCATCTTCTGCACTGTTGACATTATTGCAATTTTCATCACCATGGCTACGATGATGATTAAAGTTCTTGTGTTTTGGGATGACTTTTCTGAAAGCATCCTTTACATTCCAGCTTGCTAAACACGTGCAACCGTTTCCGCTGGGAGTAGGTGTAAGGAGCATTGGTAGAGATTCCATGACGAAAATACCGTTGTCTTTTTGAGGTGCATGTGTTGGTGATTTGTCAATGTTTACTTTCACAGAGCATGGAGGTCTGACAACATTTGTATTGTTTTTTGACCGTATTGTGATGTTTAATTGATCCGTATTTACAGATACGAGTACAGGATCAACTGCTGAACTGGAACGCATCTTGTCCATGTCTTCTGACATGTGATACGTGGAGTGCAGGCCATTTTGTGGAACAGTCGGCAAACTATTATATGTCTGATTACACGCTAGGAAGTTGGGTCTATGTAGAGGCATTCTATTCTGATTCTCTGTCTGTTCACTTTGTATACCACTAGCTTCATGAATTGGTTTCGATGTATAGGGTTGTGATGCACCACTACTACCGCTATGAGGGCGCTTTTTACCCTCTGTTCTCCCCAAATTCTGGGTTTTACCTGGACTTCTAGGAAAGCCAGTTGCCCCTTTGCTAGCACTATCGCTATTTGATGGACTGGTCAGAGCAGGAGTTCGATCAGTCATATCCAACTTGATATCCGTTGTATTTAACGGTTTACGTTCTCGTATTCCTATTGGTCGCTGTATGATGAGCCGCACAGTGTCCCCCAGACTTCTATTGACAATAGATGCTGTATTAATACCCTGTAAATCAAAAAATCAATCAAAAAATCAATTCTTGTAACAAAGACAATGTTAAGATTTCAGCAACACAGTCTGAAACACACCAACAAAAAATTCGTAATTTAAAAATCAATACAGATGACGTACATTAATCAATACCGCAGATATTGACAAGACATTTTCTGTTGATTCATTGGGTTAGAAAATACAATCATAATACATAAAATCAAATTTCCATCCAATATTAATTGTGAACATATGTACATAGACAAAAAGATTACACAGTGAAACCTGGTCATACACTTGTATTTAAAAATACTGTATTTGCTCTATTAGAAGGGCATCTCGAACATACAAACAAGAAACTTCATGATTTGTATGCTGAATCACTAGATTGATAAATTAGGAGTCCCACTTTTCTCTTCTTTAATATATATTTCAAATTATAAGTACATGATTATATAAATTGCATTACGGTTTAAGAAATATATAAACTTTGAACATGAGCATGACTTTCAGTCAGAGCATTTCAGACATATGGATCCAGACCTGCAATTATTAAAACAGAATGGCGACCAGTTGGCCATTCTGAGTCGGATCTGACAAGCAAAATGACATGCTTCAATATTCCACACCAATGTTCAATCCACGATTGAGATCCCAATATTGATTCAGAATTGCGGAAATGCTTAATATTTAGCATTGAAGTGGCTACCATTCTGTGTCTGAAGAGGAACTAGCAAAAATACTACTTTTTTCTGTTTCGCTATTCGTTGTTGATTCAACATTCAAGCATGGAATTATAAGATTAGCAGCTTTTTAAATCAAAATTAAGAAAGTTTGATGGTTGATTGAAAAATAGAAATATCAATAGCAGTTCTGTGATTTACCTCATTTTAGTTGGAATATAAATGGGGTTGATTTGTGTAATTTATTTTCACAAACCTGTCATTAATTACATGCAAAACAAAAAAATATGTGATTTTTATTTTCACTAATTATCAATCTAATCTAGTCAAAAATAAATTGTATTTTGTATAAAGTATATGCAAAGTATAGTAATTACAATAAAAGACAAACAGGCTGTATGGATCTGGGTAGATCTAACAGTTCTTAAATAAGTAGATTGATATGAAGTATTATGGACTCCAATATGATAGTTTAAAGCTATATGTATGAGCAATGGCGAATATCTGTGTGATCATACAGTTGGAGAAACGGCTACATACTTCATACATTCATTCATTCAAATTCATAAATTGGATTACGTTTTCAGAGTCAATTTTAAATGCATGTAATAATAAAGATAAGGGGCAATTCTGGGGAAGTAAAAAGTATTTGCAGAATATCAAATCCAGATCTTTGTAATTTCAGTAATTTTGGGAAGCATTTTATGCAGCTATTTTGCTTTGAAATACAATTGTATGTAGAATACATGATCAATCAGCTTAGTGCAAATTGTAATTAATTACACAAGATTTTTGTATATTATGCGAGTCAGGGGAAATCATAAATATTGTAGCAGTTAACTTTCATTGGGTCTAATCAACCCTTTGATTGCCGAAGTCAAGTTTAGATATTCATTTACAGTCTGCTCTTTTTCACATGACTGTTTTTCTCATCAGTTTTTTTTTATCAAAAACTAGAAGCAATGCCTTATTTTGTCTGTTTGGTCCAAGATTAAGAATAAATTTAATAATCAAAGAAAGCTTAGAAAGAACTCCCATGTGCTGAGAGTATTGGAGACACATTAAATATAATTCGAAATTACTTAGCTGAAAACTAATTATGAAAATCAGAAAATTAATATGACCAGATTTGAGTGTAAAACTAATGAGGTCTGCACAATGTAACAGAAAATCTATGTCTCCAAGTTTAATTGAAATGTGATTAGAACCAAAAAATTATGAATTATTATGCTTATTAGGGAATTAATATGAACAGATTTTTACCCCAAACTAATTAGGTTTGTACATTGTCCTAGAGCATCTTTGTACTAAGTTTCATTGAAATGGAATAATTAGTACCGTGAAAATTCCAAATTCGTCC